CAAATCACATTTGACAGTTCATATGCGGATTCACAATGGGGAAAAGCTGTTCAAGTGCTCGATTTGTTTCAGATCGTTCACAACCAACGCTCATCTCCAAAGTCATTCAATGATCCACAAATATGAACTGCCGAATGCTTGTTCCAAATGTGGCCGACGATTTGCCACTCCAGAAGATAAGCAAACACATGAAACGCGCTGCCAACGAAGTCTTTATGCATGTAATCAGTGTCATTACAAAACTGTTCACATTACTACTTTCAAGCGGCACATGCAATCGAAACACGGAGCTAAACGGTCGATCGAATGTGGAATTTGCAGCAAACAGTTCGTCCAACAGATCAAACTAAATCAACATCTATCATCAGCACACAGCGGCCGGTTCCCATTCCACTGCTCCAAATGCTTTGAAGGATATGCGATCGAAGATGCAAAAGAGGTTCATGAAGATAGCTGTGGCCACCGTCGCTATCAATGCCATTTGTGTGAAAAATATCGTCGAAACATTATTGTTTTGAAGGAACACATGCGAAAAGATCACACCGGAGAGCGGATTCAATGCAAAGTGTGTGCAGTCAGTTTTGTCCAGGAAGGTCATGCCGATCGACACATGAAGACAGTCCATCATTTGGTAAAGAAATAAGTCATCACTCCATGAATTTATTAGAAAGTAGTAATTTTCCTGAATAGACACATTAATTTTTATTTTATACACTTGAAAAACCTTTGCTCCCGTTATTTGAACTTGAAATTTTGCATTTTTAACTGGTATAAAATCATGGAAAGCACCTTAGATTTAACCTCTATTTTGAATGAAATAAAACTTAAATAAATTGATACAAAGAGAGAAGAGTGTTTATCCTCATTTTGAAAATTATTTTTTGCAGAGAATTCTTCTTAGCTAAGGAAAGAAACAAAAGCTCTGTTGGCAAAAGCGTTTTATCAACAAAAGCCACTACTTTGCGTTATAATCGAGTTTGCATATTTTTGTGATGATTTTACAATTTCAAAGTGTGATATTGTTCAAAATATCCAATATTTGAATGTTTGGTTTTAATTGATTCTCAAAAACCATTTGGGCATCAGTTCAATTGGCTTACTTTTTCAGTATAAACGCATGATAAATTCAATCGCAGTAGCCTTGATGCAATTTTCTTCTGCTGAACTGTAGCATTTTTCAAGATTGTCAACGAATAAGTTAGTCGCTACTCAGCAAATAATTTCGAATCACATTTGACTACATAATTCATGCATGCATATCACTCTCACATTTGACGTTCATCTCAAGCAAATTTGCCCAATAATGCAGTACTTTCAGTGCGATGTGAGAATTACAAGAAAACCCAATAAAATTCCTATTAGATTTTTATAAGATTAAAATGAATTTATCACATTCGCGATCGCGAGACATGAACAATAAACGATCTTAAATACGAATTTGTTCAAATGTAAATAAACGAACGTATGAAATTGTTGCTATCTCACAACTGTGTGTTTTTGTTACAGAGAAATCTCCCGATCAGAGACACTCCCAATGAGTGGCACACATGCATTTCTCTTATGAATAATCATAAAAAATTTAGAACCATGCGATCCCTCTGACATATGCTACTGAATCTCTTCATATCAACTTTTGATGCGCAATTCCGTGACCGTGCGTTGGAATCTTTGATTTTTCAACGCCAATTTTTTCATAGTTGGTTTACTCAAACACAATGATTGAGTGTTAAACGGAATACAAGAACCAAAACGCCTCTTTTTTAACCGACATTTTTCTCAAAAGTGAGCTTCTAATTGACATGAAGTGTATACATGTGGCGACACTGTCAACTTAACGAAATGTCATCAGCACATATAGCAAACATTTGCCTCGCAGTATCAATGCCGGATATGCTGAGGTTGCCATTTTTCAATGAGTCACAGAGTGGGGCAGACATATTGAAAGACGATACGCAGAAAAAAATTAATTAAACGTCCAGCGAAAAAAAAGGCATCGACAGAACATTTAACGACGAAAGTGTTGAACATTTTTCAATATTTGTTTGGATATTGGGCTTGGAATTTTCCATTTTGTTTCCAAAGTGGCATATGAATTGGGTTTTTCATGAAAATTCTGAAAAAACAGTATAAAACCGAAGTGTGCATTTGGTGTGTAGTTATCACACACGCGTGGCAAACACGTGTTTTGTATGAAGTAGATCAATTTAATCATGTTTGATTTTTTTTGTTCTACCAAACAGACAATGAACCCATTCAAAAGTATTTCTGGTGGACGCTGCAAGCGCAAGTCAAAATATGCAAAGACTGAAGTTAAGCAAGAGCCGACGATTAAGGAAGAACACAATGACAGCGACGATGTCATGAACATACCACGGCCGAGAGTTGGTGGAAGATATCGAGCGAATTATGATGGGCCATTCGATTTTGACTATGACTTTGATAAAGTAAAGGATGAAATGAAGTGTGAGGAAGAAGAGACGGGCACAGAAAAGGACACGACACCATGTGAACGATCGAATGACAGCGCTGCCGCAAACAATGATGACAACGAAGAGCACATGGGTGATGCAGTCGATATTCAACCACCGCAACCAGTCAGCAGCGGGAAGAAACGGAATGGAAGCTCCAAAAGACGAAACAAACGAACGATTCCCCGGAATCAAGCGGCCAAAAATCGGAAGAAGCACAAATGTCATGTGTGCAATCATTTGTCAAGTGAGAAGTCTAACCTCAAAGTACACTTGCGGATTCACACTGGAGAAAAACCATTCAAGTGTGATGTTTGTTCGAAGTCCTTTACACGAAAAAATCATCTGAAAAATCATAAGAAAACGCATGGCCTATTCCGCTGTTCAAAATGTAATCAAGGATTCGAAAACGAATCAGTCAAGATCGATCATGAAAGGCTATGTAGTCCTCAGCAATTCGAATGCGATATTTGCGGATATCACACTGTAGTGAAATTCAGTTCGACAGTTCATATGCGGATTCACAGCGGGGAAAAGCCGTTCGAGTGCTCAATTTGTTTCAAGTCGTTTGCACAAAGCATTGATCTCCAAAGACATTCAATGACTCACAAAGATGCTCTGCCGAATGCTTGTTCGAAATGTGGTCGACGATTTGCCACACTAGACGATAAGCAATCACACGAAACGCGCTGCCGATGAAGTCTTTATGCATGTAATCAGTGTCATTACAAAACTGTTCGCAAGCATAGCTTGAAGATGCACATGCAATCAATACACGAAGCTAAACGGTTGATCGAATGTGAAATTTGCAGCAAACAGTTTGTCCAACAGATCAAACTAAATCAACATCTATCATCAGCACACAGCGGCCGGTTCCCATTCCAATGCTCCAAATGCTTCGGAGGATACGCGACCGAAGATGTAAAAGAGGTTCATGAAGATAGCTGTGGCTACCGTCGCAATCAATGCTATTTGTGTAACGAGCATTATCGAGGTAAACATGATTTACAGACACACATGCGGAAAGATCACACCGGAGATCGGATTCAATGCAAAGTGTGTGCAGCAAGCTTCACCAATGAAAGTAATGCTAACAAACACATGAAAAATGTTCACCGTTCGAAGAAGTGGTAAATCATGGCTCGCATATATACATACGTTTTTAGATTTAAAAACAAGTAGTTGAGCTGGAAATCGATTACACTTTCATATACTTGAAGCATTTTGAATTCAATTTAATTGTTGAAATCATTTCGAAGTAACATTCAATATTTTTCAAAACAAACAGTTCATGGATACCATCTTAGATTTAAAACCGAAATAAATTGAAACAAAAAGGAAAGAGAGTTGACTTTTATTTCTGTCCTCACTTTTACAGCAATTTTCTTGATCAAGGATTGAAACAGATGGTGTTTGGTAAATGTGTTGATACGAAATCAACTCTACACTTTGATTGAGTTTGTCATTTTTTATGATAGTGTTCCGGATTCAAAGCACCATTTTCCTTATGGTATCCAAATACTTGATTTGAATTGATTTCAGATCAATTGTCCATTCGCTTCATTTTTTGCCGAGTGTTGAGAAAATATCATAATATTCTTGGGACTTCCGATTACAAAAGAATTAAAAGATGATTGAATTCTCTCTCATGGACACTGACTGGTTCTATGCAATTTCATTTATTTAATTTGCCCAATTTTCCAGCATAAACGCATGATGAATTCGATCTCATCAGCCTTAATTGAACCACTGAGAATGAATCACAGACTCAATCGAAGTGTTCACCACTACAGTATTTGAATACGTTGCCATGACTCACACATCTAACTTTTGTGCAGAAAGACAGCGTAAATCCAAGTGGTTCAATTCGATCAGATCTTCAAAATTGTATTAATCAACAAAATGAAATTATTTCGACTAAATTTAATGCATTTGTTGAGCCAGAATCTAAAGTAGCACTTGTTGTGTTCGCGATCCATGTATGATTCTGCGATACAAATTTGTTTACATTTTAACATAAGCACACCGAATGAGTTTGTTATTGTTTGACCGATAAACATCTCTCTATCATGCGGAATGCGACTTTGCTGTCAATTTTCAGCCATCCATTCGGTTTCTTTGCTTCGACTCAATGAATTCTTCGTGAAACTCATCTTCTTCGGACAAGTGACGATAAAATTTATCGGTAGAATCGAAAGTATCATAGCTTCAATGTCATTTTCCCAATTATCACTGATTTTTTATTCGAACCGCAGAATGATCATTATTTCCAAAGAACAAAACGTTTCGTTTCAAAACATTTATTTCAACAAATTGGAAATTGTAGAAACAAATTTTGCATGAATTTAACCGACATTTTTGAAATGAGCGATGAATTTGCGCAATTGACAGCTACGAATCGGGATGAAGTGTCACTTTGAGTCGTTGAGAACTCAACGAAACACACCAATACAAATAACATGCTTGCAAGTGTGTGACTTTTAGCAATGATGTCGTGGCTTACAGACTGTACGTTGTTCTAGATTGTTCTTTCAGCCACCGAGTGAGACAGACATCTTGAAAGTTACGTGAAAAAAAGAATTTTCAGCAGAAAAAAGGCGACGACAAACGTAAGTGTTGGACATTTTTCATTTATTCAGATGTCCATTTTTGAGTAAATAATTTTGTAATTCGGTCGTAAAATTGATAAATTCAGCGGATTTCTATAAAAATTGACAGCCAATAATCTTAAACAATGGCTTAGGTGAACTTTTGGTACGCATTTTATCGTTTTTGCTGTAGACGCGTCAAACACGTGTTTTGCAAGGAGTTGATTGATTTGTTAAATTTTGATTTTCAATGTTTTTTCTTGAATCTAATAGGAAATGAACCTATTCAAGAGTGTTTATCGTGGACGCTGCAAGCGCAAATCGAAATATGCAAAGACTGAAGTTAAGCAAGAGCCGGTGATTAAGGAAGAGCCCAACGATGGTGACGATGTCATGAACATACCACGGCCGAGAGTTGGTGGTAGATATCGTGCGAATTACGAAGGACCGTTCGACTTTGCGTATGACTTCGATGAGGTAAAGGATGAAATCAAATGTGAAGGAGAAGAGACGGGCAAAGAGAAGCACACGACACCATGTGAACGATCGAATGAGAGTGCCTCCAACTATGATGACAACGAAGAGCACATGGGTGACGCAGTCGATATTCAACCACCGCAACCAGTCAGCAGCGGGAAGAAACGGAATGGAAGCTCCAAAAGACGAAACAAACGAACGATTCCCCGGAATCAAGCGGCCAAAAATCGGAAGAAGCACAAATGCCATGTGTGCAATCATTTGGCAAGCTGCAAGTATGCACTCATAGAACACTTCCGAATTCACACTGGAGAAAAACCGTTTCAGTGTGATATTTGTTTGAAGTCCTTAGCACGAAAAATTGATTTGAACCGTCATAAGAAAACGCATGGCCGATTCCGCTGTTGAAAATGTAATCAAGGATTCGAAAACGAATCAGTCAAGATCGATCATGAAAGGCTATGTAGTCTTCAGCAATTCGAATGCGATATTTGCAGATATAGAACAATACGCAAGTCAGATTTGACAGTTCATATGCGGATTCACAGCGGGGAAAAGCCGTTCGAGTGCTCAATTTGTTCCAAGTCGTTTGCAAAAAGCATTGATCTTCGAAGCCATTCGATGACTCACAAAGATGAATTGCCGAATGCTTGTTCCAAATGTGGTCGAAGATTTGCCACACTAGACGAGAAGGAAACACATGAAACGCGCTGTCAACGAAGTCTGTTCGCATGTTATCAGTGTCATTACAGAACTGTTTACAATCAAGATTTGAAGCGGCACATGCAATCGAAACACGGAGCCAAGCGGTCGATCGAATGTGGAATTTGCAGCAAACAGTTCGTCCAACAGATTCAATTAAATCGACATTTGTCTACAGCACACAGCGACAAATTCCCATTCCAATGCTCCAAATGCTTTGGAGGATACGCAACCGAAGACGAAAAAGAGGTTCATGAATATAGCTGTGGCCACCGTCAGTTTCAATGCCATTTGTGTAAAGAATATCGTCGAGACAAACCAAAATTGAAGATTCACATGCAAAAAGATCACACCGGAGAGCGAATTCAATGCAAAGTGTGTGCAGCAAGCTTTATCCATAAAGGTCATGCCGATCATCACATGAAAACCGTTCACCGTTTGCAGAAGAAATAGGTCGCACATTCTATAGATTGAATAAAACGTAGCTAACTTTGACATAAATATTTCATGATTTCTATAAATTGCTCACTTACATTGATCACTTAGCTTGATACACTTCAGAAACTTCATTTCAACAATTCAAAATCATATCGAAAGAACATTAAATATTTGTGTCATTGCATACACCCCATGATTACCACTTTAGATTTAAATGAAACAAAACAGAATTAAATTGAAAAAGCAATAAAAAGAGGAGAGTTCTCTTTAATTTCAGAGTATATTTTTGCAAGAATTTCTCCTTGTCTAAC